TAACTTGTGGTTGACAAAGACCCCCCAGATCTCATTCGTATGTACGTACCACTGCCAAACCAGGCCTCTCTCATCCTAAACTTGGGCTTTTTGTTTTTCCTATCCAAATGCAGAACTTTACTGTTCTCCCTGTTTCAAGCCTAAGTTATCTCTGAATCTTCTTCCTTTCTTCTAAATATTAGCAAACTCCCAGTTTTGTGTCATCTGCAAGCGTGGTAAGTGTCCCCATCAACTCCCTCCTCCAGCTCTTGATAAAAATGTTGAAAAGCCCAGGGCTCAAATCAGAATGCTTTGGCAATCCACTCAGTTCTTTTCCCCAAACTAACAGTAGTATCATGTAGTCTATATTTTACCATTTTATGGAGGAAAATATTTGCTCTGTTGAAGGTGGCTCTGCTGAAGGGTTTGCTGAAATCCAAGTATACTATGTATATGGCATTCCCCTGATCTACTTGTTTCAAGGAACAAGATAAGGTTACAGGTGGTCCTTGTTCAATGACGACTTGTTCAGCAACTGTTCAAACTTATGACAGCACTGAACGAATGGTAGTTACAACTGGTCCTCGTACTTATGGCCGTTGCAGCATCCCCATGGTCATGTGATCGCAATCCAGGTACCCACTGCCTGGCTAGCAATCATGATATCACAGCATCCCATGGTCATGTGATCGCCATTTGTGGCCTTCCTTCTTTGCTGGCTTCCTACAAGCAAAGTCAGTGGGGAAGCAGGAAGAAGGTTGCAAATGGTGACCACATGATATCCTCACTTAAAGACCCACAGTGATTCACTTAACGATGGCAACTGGAAGTGCCAGAATTTCTATCACTAAGCAGCATGGTCACATGATGTCATGCTTTCCAACCACTTCGGTTAGCAATGGAAATTCCAGTCTCAGTTGCTGTTGTTAAGTGGGGGCTACCTGTAGTCTGGCTGTTTTTTTCCTCAGACATATGCTGGTTCCTATTAACTGTACCATGCCTATCCAAGTGCTTTGGCACATGCTGCTTGATAAGCTGTGGGAAAACTTACCTAGTATGGTCATCAAGCTAACAAGTCTATAATTCCCTGGGTCTTCCTCCATCTCTTTTTTTTATAGTAATTTTTATTAAAGTTTAAAAAAAAACAGAGATAAAAAACTAATACAAAGCAAGAAAAATATAAAAAGAAAAAATAAAAAGGGAAAAGGGAAAAGGGAAAAGGGAAAAGAAAAGAAGGGGGGGAGGAAAAGGAAAATTTATACAAAGAAAAAAGAATATATAAAAAAATGACTTTCCCCCTCATCAAGACAAGTACAAACAATTTCAGTAACTTATCATCACCTCTAGCATTTCAGCCAATGCTCTTTTCATCCTGTATCTCATCTTTTATCTATTAGGATATAATAAAACCTCAACATTCAATCTTAATCAGCAAAAGTCCATTAAGAGTTACCAGAAATAACAAAATATATTACATTAAACAAGTAAATCAATTTCTTTTCATTTTGTTTACTCTGCGTAGTAACTTATAATTTTCTCTAAAAATGCAGCAACAATAAAAATCTTCCTATATTTTATCTTATATCTATAAGCAAACCTATAAAAGCTCGTTGTTCAAACAACTTAATTCCATTAAGAGCTACCAGAAAATCTTAATCTTTAAATCTTTCAAATAATATTCCACAAATTTATTTCTTATCGTTTTCTCTTTGTCTCATCTCAGAAATTAGTTTGCAGATTTAACACTTTCAATTTTAACATCATAACCCATCAGTTTCTCTAATCATACAACAAAAGACCTCTTCCCTCCATATCTTATCTAATGGCAAATCTTTAAGGTCTCGTCATTCTGTCCTGGTCAAGAAAAACCCATTAAAAACTACTAGAAGAAAAAAAATCATATATTTTAACCTTGATCA